TAATATAATTATATATATAATATAATAATAAAAATATATATTAATAAAATAAATATATATATATATATATTCCAATTTATTAATAAAAATTAATTTAATAAATTTATCATAATATTATATATTATTTATTGATTTTTTTTTTCAATATAAATTTTTATTTATATTATTTAAAATATATATATATATCTAATTTAGTTTTTTTTTTTAATAATTATAATCGAATTTATCCCCCCCCCATATCTAGAAATATATAAAAATATTTTATTTTCCTAAAGTAAAATATTTCAGTTCAAAAATTCTGGTTTATAATGGTCTCTGGGTGTGGTTAAATTCAAGGTTAAATATAATGTTCTAAAAATTGTTTGGTAAATTCATGTTCTTATACAATATTCTCAAGCCTGTTTGTAAGTATATTCGTGTCCCAATATATATATATTTAAGTTCATGTATGTGTATGTGTATATATATATATAAATGAATGAAAATATGAATGTGTGTAAATATGTATGTATATATGTATGTATGTATGTATGTATGTATGTATGTATGTTCAAAATAAAAGGGTGTGTCATGGTGTGTCATATCGTTTCTGGGCTAAAATGTAGTATCCGGAAGACCTCCCCCACGTCTTTTAGAAGCCCAAAAAAATACGTTAGGGGGGGTATATTTCACGTGGTCAGGTAAAATATGTCTCAGAAATTTCATGCCTTACCACCCCCAAAAAAAATCAAGGGTTAAAATATATATATATATATACATACATAATTATATTAATATAATTTATTTTATATGTTTTTACCTATTTTAGAAAATTTCCAATTTATTTTCTGGCTTAGCCAATCACTAATCTCAGCGGCTGCTGTTGCAGCAATGTGGAATCAGCTTTTTGCCACTGTACAGGCAAGGCAAAGAGCATTTCCGTTGCCTCGGATATGGCTCAGATTTTTTGCGATCCTGGTCAGGATACACATTTGGAAGACCACCAGCAAACAATCCAATCATTCCTTCGGGGAAAATCCATGAAAATCTTATCTATTTCAAGAAGAAAAAATTGCCCGAAACGTAATTTGAGCCACAGCCTTCTCTGAATTGTGCATGAATGAAAAAGACAACGCCAATTTCTGTCTTTGTGCGTAATTATTGATGAGAGTTGGAAACATCAATCTGGATCGAGTTGATGTCCTCCATCGTGAAATTCAGGGAATTCATCCATAGGATAAAATTCACCCCCTGGTACTCAAACATGGCAATGAGAACCCCTTGTAAATGTTTTTTCTTGATGAATTTTCCTTTGCCATGTTCGGGGGGCAATTTGGATAAGGCAAATAGAGGAAGTAGTTGATACCGCTCGCTCATTTCTTTCCGTTTTTATCAAGCAAACTGGAAGTCAGGTTGACTGGTGGCATTGCAAGGGTTTTGCCAAACCTGTCCCCTGCAGTCCGTTCCGTGGCTTTGGCGAAACTCTTCTGACGCCAAGCCAAATCCGGCTGATCACGATGCCGTAATAAAAAATCCTGTTGAAGAAGGCCCTCATAAACAGTGCCATGGATCATGGTCCGCTCATCTTTCATGGAATCGATCAACTTCAGCCATGCAGCGGGCTTGGACTACTGATCAGGTTCCATGCTTGAATAGACTGTCCCAAGAAATGGGAAGTTCCAACGAAGGGTGTCAGCTCCTCTTGAAGAATAGTATTGATATGTATTGATTGTATTGATAGTATCAAGTTCGATATGCATTAATAATCAACGTGATGTCCGAATAGGCACATACAGTGATCCCACGGTCTAAACCCCCAGTTGCCCATCTCACACAGGCAAATCAAAACAAGGTCCTCAATGAATAAATTCTATTTGTAGGAGATGCATGTCAGTGTTGTTTTTGTTCCTGTATACCCTGAATTAAGCAAATTTGGTAGACTTCTTATGGATTGGGTAGACTTGTTGGGTGATAGGATTATTGAATGCTGGATACGGTACCAAAATGAAGAAACTACTTGTCATCCTGTAGAGCACCTAGGAACAATGGTAAACCATGGTTTACAGCATGATGTACCACTGGAATCCACTGGACACGAAGCCAAACCTTGCAAGTACATAGATAATTACAAATAGTACAGCAGAACATCTAGGAATGGCGAACCCGCTTTAGTTCCATTCACATCCTACTGGCGCACTGTGTGCTTGCTTTCAGGGTTTTAAAAACCTATCAAAAACCTAGCACACAACCCAGAAACATCAAGTTGATTGATCACACCCTTAAAATCTCCAAATTATGCCTGATTCCCTATCTTTTTCTGAAGGGACGGCCCTACGGCGACAACTTTCCAAGAGGCAATAGGACTTAGCCATACCACAGCTAGGTCTGATGAATGCTTGGGCATGTATGATAGGTCTTAATCATTAAATTATGTTCAAATTTCCCAGATATCACACATCTCAATGCACGTCTTGAATCTCCACATTTCGAGCCAACCACTTCGCTCCATGGCACCTATCCGCTCGGCGTGACATGTCCACATGACGTCCTATCCTGCGGTTTCACGACGGGCCTGGCTGACAAAGGACATAACTCTCACAGCTCACGGGGTTAATTTGTTTTTTCTCCAAACATCGATGTTATCAACCAACAAAGTCTAGGTAGAAACCAGGATGTCAAGCATGATGTTATCAACCAGCCTCTAAGATCCTTCAGCAACATGAGATAATTGCACCAAACCTTTTTTTGGGCGCGACACATTTCACCATCGCACTACATGGTGGCCTCCAGAGAAGGGCATCCCTCAAATACTGGTGATTTCAAGGCACTTTAAAAATGGTGGATTTCAGATATGATTTGTTGTGGGGATTCTGGGTTTAGGTCAGTCGACCC